ATCCCTGTGCTGGACCTTCCACTCACCAGTGGCTCCAGGGTGTTGATGTCCTTGATCTTGTTGCCGCTCAAGTTCAAGTGCGTCAGATTAGGGGTCCTCTCTGCTAGCACTTCCAGGCCTCCGGAGATCCGGTTATCACTCAGCTCCAGCTGCCAGGAGAAATATTATGAGGCCAGGCTCTAAGACGTGGCAGCACTTGGGGTGGAATCTCACCTCCATCTGGGAGGTCACACAGCATAACAGAGCAGCCCAGACTCCTTGTACAGCTGGGATACCCCAATACCACCCCCCCGCAACCTCAAATAAGAAATGGTCATAACTACAGCGCCTGCTGCACTCCAACCAGTGCCCCACAGGAAATGTCAGCAAGTTAAAAAAGCCCCAAAAATCCAAATTACAAGCAACAGCATGAAACATCCTCCCACCGCCAACCCATGCAGGGGCTCCACTGCTGCAGCAACCGTCAGCATATTTTAGTTTGTCAAAGCACACAGGTAGCGATACAAATGGAGCAAGGTGGAAACACTGGTGGTGCTAATCCTGCCCGTAAGGAGTTTTGTATCCCCGCTAACGGCAGAAAGCTTTGTCAACGGCTTCCAGTGTTTTAACCAGCTACAGATGCCTGGACCAACATGGCACAGCTCCAGTGAGCACAGCGTTTCAGCAGCGAACAGGCCTGCTTCCACCATCGAACGTAGCGCTTGCAAGCCGCCCCCGAAGCAGTTAACCTCGTTAAGTGTTTCACCAAAACGCGGCCGTTCTGCGGGGTCACTGCTCTACATGCCCGTTTCATTAAGCCCCACATAAAGATTAGGTGTACATAATGCAGCGGCTCCCAAGGGAGGCCCAAAGGTGCTGGCCCCTGCCCCTCCATGCATCACCGAGTGACATGAGGCAGCAGATGTGGAGGGAGGGGATGGCAGCACCACCCCACCCCAGACTGCATGCGATGCATTACCCGTTGCCGACACCACGAGTGGTAATAGCACGGATGGCAGTCCCTGCTGCTAAGGACATTTGCCAGCCACAGTTTCCCAGTGGACAGCTGCTGCAGGACTGCCAGGCACCAGCCCTCGCTTACCTTGCGAAGTTTGTTGAGCTTGGGGAGGTTGGAGACCGACAGCAGGTTGATGTTGATCATGCTAAGGAACTCCAGGTTCTCGAAGTCGGAGGAAAGGCCGACGATCTTCCCATCGTCAGAACGGCAATTATCCAGCACCAGCTCCTTCACCTAGCGAGAGGGGAAGGCACAAGAAAACCATCATCATTTAAGCTTCCTGCAGTGTCATCTCTAGAGTCGATTTGCATGAACCCCACAGGCTCACCTCACTCATCCGAGCTCAATGACTAAGCATCGCACATACCTGCAAACATCCCCCTCCCACTCGACCACAAAAGGGAAGGCGAGTTCCCCGCTGCCTTGAAACCAAATGTGCTCGGGAGGCAAGCAGATCAGCAGCACCTGCTATGGAGTCTATCCAGTTAGGGTACGGACGGTGCGCTTCGGTGACAAGGGAGACATTGCAACGGGACAGGGGCTAAAAACCACGCACCTCCTCGGGACAGCTACTCCTTAGCTTCGTGGCTAAAAGTTGTCAAACTTGCATCGTTTCACCCTGGCACCGAAGAAAGCTCGGAGGACAAGCACTTTCAGACTGCATCCGATCCCAACCGGCCTCCTTTTATCCAGTTACCGCTCCCTTTCACCACCACCCCCTGGTCTCCCTCTTACAGATGGGAATATTTCCCCACTAGACTTTTTCACCCCAAACTAGCGTGTCCAACAACACCCGTAAGCCGTGCCTCTGCCTACTTCGCGCGCCCGGCTCCGCACAACACCACAAACTAATTTTTCAGGTCCTAAACATTTCCTGGCCTGTAAAAGCTCGGCTCCAGACACGGCCCAGATGGACGCAGACCTCACCTATTTGCTCCAGTAAAGAAGCTGCTGCCTGTTACCAACTCGAGGGCGCTGCAAAGATTATTTTATTCGGCAGGGACGCCGGGAACAACCCAAAACGGAGCAAGGCGGTTCTTTGCCTTCCTCGCCGCCAAAGCGGTTAAAAACCAGCCTTTCCCATTAGACAGACCAGAGGCTTTGATCCCACGTGCTGTGGCGTTGGACGTTACCCTTGCTAGAAAGCGAGGGATGCTCTCCCAAGCCACCCTCGACCTCCCTCCTGCAGCCGCCGCCGCTTCCTGGCTCCCTCCGCGCGCAGCCACGCGCTAGGAAGTTGCGTC